AAATATATTTTACTTAGAAAATATATTGCTAAAATTAATATTTAAGATTTTATTAAAAAATTAGAGTTTAAAAAAATGAATGCAAACAAATTTGCCTGTGTTACAATTTAAAGGATAAATCACAACTCTTATCTAATTGTATAATGATTTTTAGTAAATATAAATACCAAGTAAAAACATTAATAAAAATTTAATTTTATATAGTCACTGCATATTATTATCTACTATTATTGTGACTATATAAAGATTTTTTAATATAGTCACATCTTTTTATAATCATCTGAATTTTATTTCTCAAGCTGATGATTATATCGAGGTACAACTGTATATGTAAATTTAGAAATTTTTTATATAAATACTAAAAATCAAGAACCGATATAAGTCTGGAGTATTACTATATTTAGGGATCACTAAAGCCTTGTACTCATATGACTTTTGAAGTTTTAATTGTAATTAGGGTTGAGGTTTTTTTATTGTTAAGATAAGAGCAGGTATATAAGTAAAATTTCCTTTTTGATATTTTTTGACTACTATTTTTCTTATTTTTTTGATTTTTTTGATTTTTTTGATTCTTTGGGCTGATCTGTATAAATAAAATCTTATAATTTTGATTAGTGATCTATATAAAAAAGTTATGTGAGTACAAAGCTTTAGCAGACCTCTATATTTGGTTTATACCAGTAATCAATTGTTGTTTACAAAATATTTTTGTAATCACATGTCATGCGAAAGGACAAACAAAAAATTTTAAAATTATATTATTGATATGTTAATTATAATAATTATGTTAATGCATTAAAAGGAACGTTTGATGATCAAAACATATCAAAAATATAATTTTTGTATCATTTAATGTGTAAAAATTAAGTATTTATCACTATACTTCAAACAATTAGTAATAATAACCACAGTGATCATTACTGATTACACAGAGCAAATATAAAAAGATAAATTATTTAATTTTTTTTTGTTTCCTTTCTTTTGCTTTTATTTTTTTATTTATTAGTACTAATACTTATATTTGTTTTTTTTTATATAGTAGGTTCGTGTTTCTTTCACTAGTTAGGCCTTCTTGTTGGTATCGCCCAATGGTGCTTCTTTCGCTAGTTGTTTTTTGCATCATTGGTATCATTCTGTTGGTGTTTTATCTTGGTTGGTGCCTTTTTATGTATTATTGGCATCATCCATTTGGTGCTTCTTTTGCCAGTTGGTTCTTGCTTCGTGGTATCATCCTATTTGGTGCTTTTTTGCCAGTTGGTATTTTGCATCACCCAGTTCAGTGATTTTCGCTAGTTGGTGCCAGTGGTTGGTGTTATTTCTTGTGTTATTGGTGTCATCGGGTTCAGTGTTTTCTCTTTAGTCGCTATCATTTAGGTTAGTACTTTTTTTGTGATGCATTACCTTGGCATTGAGTTTCTCAACTATACAGCTAAATATCGATTTTTTTTTTTGCTTTTGATGTTGTGTTTGTGTAATACTAATTCAAGTTCAGGACAGGTTGCATCACATCTTGCTCTTTTGGTATATTACTGGTTATTTCGTCATTAGTGCCAAGTCTGTATCATGTTGTGTTTGGCACCTTGTTTATCATTCTACTCTTCATGCTATGCATGATGTTTTTCGATTTTCGTGTTGGACTTTGATTTTTTTTTTTTTGGTTTTAAGGTGAGGCCTTGCTTATATCTTTATTAGTAATAATTTTTTAATAGTAACAAAATAA